TTGAATATGAGTCAGCAGTGCCCAGGCAGCCAGGAGGGCCAACCGTGTCCTGGGGAGCATCGGGCAAAGCATCACCAGTCGGTCGAGGGAGGGGATTGTCCCTCTCTGCTCTGCACTGGGACAGCCTCACCTTGAATATTGTGGCAGTTTTGGGCACCGCAACATAAGAAAGATATTAAGCTCTTAAGAGAGTGTTCAAAGCAGGGCAGCAAAGGTGGTGAAAGGGAAGCCTTGAGGGGAAGCCATATGAGGAGCAGCTGAGGGCAGTTGGTCTGTTCAGCCTGGAAGAAACTGAGGGGAGACCTCATTGCAGTTACAACTTCCTTATGAGGGGAAGAGGAGGGGCAGGCACTGATCTCTTCTCTGTGGTGACCAGTGACAGGACTCAAGGGAATGGCCCGAAGTTGTGTCAGGGGAGGTTTAGGTTGGATATTAGAAAATGGTTCTTCACTCAGATGGTAGTTGGGCACTGGAACAGGCTCCCAGGGAAGTGGTCACAGCTCCAAGCCTGACAGAGTTCAAGAAGTGTTTGGAGGATACTCTCAGGCCCATGGTGTGACTCTTGGGGATGGTCCTGTGCAGGGCCAGGAGTTGGACTCGATGATCCTTGTAGGTCCCTTACAACTTAGTATATTCTCCGATTCTGTGATTACCAACTACTGTTTAGCTCATATTGAACAGGCATGATTACACAAGTGGATCCCAACCAATCTGGAGATAAGTCAGAAAAAGCAGGACACTGCACATGTGAGATGCAGTGCAGCACATAGGAAGAAAAGCACAGAGACAGCTCTGGGACAAGGGGAACAAACAAATGGGATAAGCAGCTGGAATTGAGGTAAACTCTGCTGGCAGAGGGAGCACATTATGCAATAAGCAGATAAGGAAAAGGCAGAGCTGTAACTCTAACTTAATCTGGGGCACATGCCAAAGAATCCTATCACTAACATTATTAAGACCCATGAGTCTGTTCTGTAAAGAAACAGACAGATTTTTCTGTGAGCAGAAAAATCCTTTAAAGCATGGAAACAAAGAGGAATTCTCACAGGGACCCTGAAAGTGCTACAGGAAGATCACTGCCATGTAATACAGACGGCAAACAGCCATGGGGAGCAGATGACCATGACATTTAATGGCAAGTTTTTGAAGAAAAAGAAAAGTAGCTAATTTTTTTCCCCCAAATAAGATTAGAGGTCAGTTGCAGTAACTGCTTCCCACAAAGATATTCTACACTTTAGAGCCTCTACACTTCACAGTGCAAATGTGATGTGTGGTTGGAATAGTCCCAGATGTCAAGGAAGCATCTTGCCTTCTAGTAGAAAACCCATTATCTGTCTATGCTTTAAAATGCTTTTCAGAAGTTTTATGCTAAGAAATTTTTATCATCCTGTCTGTAGTTAGCATACTCTCAAGACCTTCCAATTATTTCCCATTTGTACTGGACAATCCTCCCAGTCCCACATAATTTGGGCTCCAACCAAGACAAAAGTAACCCGCCCTCAAAGGCCAGGTGCTGAACTGGAAGCCCGGGGATAACCATGAGTTAGCTTTCTTCATTATGATATCCACAGCTCTCTGTACTTTACAGTCTCCCATATTCTTGAGAAAGTTCTGCTGCTTTCTCGTGAAAAGTCAGATAAAACTGCCATCCTCAGCAAGCTGACCAAATTCACAGCCAAAAACTTTAAGTAAAGCTGGGAATAGATGTTTGTCATGGATATGCCAGACCTACCCTGGGCCAGCACATTCTTACCATTATCAGCACATCAGTCAACACACATAGCAGGTTTCACTAATTCCAAAAACAGAGGAAAAGACTTTTCATTCCAGTATTTGACATGGATGTCCAGCAGTGCTTTCTAACTCTGTGGAACTACTTTGAGTAGTCTAAGTAAAGACAACTCAGCAACCAAAAGAAGTTAAATTAGCAATGCAAACAGCTGCTTCTCTGTGTGCAGAAGTGTCAAGATGGGGCTTAAAGCTCTCCGAGCATTACAGTTGAGAGACGTTGCCAAACAAGTATTTGTGACAAGAGACTTAATAAATTCTTTTTTCAATCACACTACTAAAGCTCAAAACTAGATTGAGGGGCTAAATTTAGGAAGATGCAAATTATAGTAGAACTAAAATGCTTTTACTTGCATTATAAATGATTTTGAACAGTGTCACCTTTAAATTCTCAAATCTATTAGGACTCCAGCCCAGCAGAGGATATAAGCATGTGCTTAAGCTTTACAATATACAGACCCTCCAAATGCTGGTGGACCACTCAAGAATATCAGTGTATCCTTTCCTTCAGTATTTTGTTAGGTTGGGCCACAGGACATCCAAGAGTGTTTAGAGCACGGGTGGGACATATTGAAACCAACTGTGCACAGTCGGTTTTTCTGCTTACATGGGCTTTTTACATAGTAACATTTTAAAATGTTTCTATACCAATTGTGGTGTTTTTAAAGAGAAAAATACAACCTTTAGACAATGTCAGTAGCTAAAGATAATCAGCAAAAAGACTGAGAAGGGGAAAAGACTTATATTTCTTTTTAACTCATTAAATAAAATGAGTTTTTAAATTGGCTGTTTCCCTTTGATACTCAGTTTGGTGAAATTAGTTTTCACCTCTAGAAAGAGATCCTTAATCCCTACAGGATCTTTTAAAATTTTGTCTCTGCCAGCACATGCTCACAACACACCACTGATGCTCAATGCTAAAAGTCAGCAGGGTATCAGTGGACAGGGAGGTCTTAATCGACAATTTAACTTCATGGACATCAACAAAATCACTTAAAAAATAAAAGGTTTTCAGGATCAGATGCATTAAAATTATTCTGCACCTAAATTAGTAGCAGTTAACAGAAACTGCCTTATTTTTCTAGAGATTGTACAAGTTCATAAATGAGCAATGTCTGACCTGAATATTTAACACAAGCAATTTCTTTTCATAAATCTATACGGGACTAGAACAAAATAAACCTTTAATAAATACATTTAACAGTAAATGTTTTCAGGATCTGGCTTGTAGAGAATAGGAATAAAGAGAGGAAACAGAGATCACTCACTACACTAACTTTGCCTGCTTTTTAGTTATTTATCTTTAGATGTAAATGTAATTTTTCTCATGTACTTGCTATGAAAAATTTCATTACTGTTCCCAAAAACCAGCATTATCCAGTATGAAAGACCAAAGGAACAAAATATATCCACAGAAAAAGTGCCTGTAAGCTAAAACAAACAGTTAAAACAGAATTCGTTGCTTCTACAAAGCCTGGCAATGAAACCTGTCAGAAGTTGGACAGTTAAATTTTGCAAAGCAAATTAAAGCAAATTGCCAATAGGACAGCAACAAAAAACTAGAAATATATTATCTAATTCTTTCTCAAAATTAAATTTTGCCTCAGAACATAAGGCAAAGGAGGATGGATGAACAACAACTCTAGAAACAAAAATCACCACATATGAGCTGGAGGTAAGAGCTGAACAGTAAAGTCCAGTAGATCAGACGATGCTAATTCTAAAACACCAAAGCATATCATGCCACAGAAACACAGTATCTTTCCTGATGGCACTCTCTAAAGAGCACAAGAACTTGAAGTCCAAGTGGACTAGTCAGGGGAATGAAAACCAAACCTTACAAAAGTAACTGTAACAATGACCATAGGTATTTCCTCAGGAGCAATTTTCTCCTTTCAAAATAGAATGCTGAATATGGCCCTTTTGGTTACTACATTAAATGGACAAAGTATTGTCAAGGTTGTAATTAAAGATTAATGTTTCAGAAGCAGGTATGTGAGGAAGAGGCATTTTCTAGGAGTACAAGGCACAGACTTACAGAAGCAGACCTGCACAGTGGAGCTGACTCCCAACAGGAATGCAACAGGGGCTTCTACTGAAAGGTGAAACCACTCAAATCTTTTAACTTTCGTATAAATAATTGCTGTGGTACTGGGAAGGAAAGAATTGAATACATTCAATGTTTTTCCGTGCACTGCTTATGGCAAAGTAGGAGAGAGGGTGACTGCTAAAGCAGAGAGGAAACACAACTGGTTACACGAGTTTTACCTCAAAGGGAATCCCCAGCTGACTGTTCACACAAGCTTTCTATTTCCTCTACCCACTAGAAATGACATATCAATTGTCTCTGACAAGAGTATGGATAAAAAGGTCAAAGGAGAGAGAACTATCACGCTAGACAAAGAGAAAAACATTCATCTTGATTGCACATAATCCTTGGCTTAGCTGAGTGAGATATTTATAATGAACAGCAAAACTTTCATTTTGGAGGATTCTTGTTCTCCATTCTCCACTCTTAATTAAAAATACCAGAATTTTGGAGCTTTAAAGCTTTTTTTCCTAGTGAAAACATTATCATAGATCTAAGATAGAGAAATGGGTCACCTAGTGTTTGTCTTTGAAAAGTAGCCTTGCAGTGCCCCTTTTACTGTGAAATAGCAATGACAAAACTGTTAGCAGTGATTCCAGATTTAATGCACCCCCTCCAAAATGTTCAAATTGAAGCACTCTAAAGGGGCCTGATTTTCAGCAGGGACAGCATTTAATAAAACTGCATCCCCTAACAGGTGTCTCAAGCTTTGTTCTCAAAATCTCTACCATTATTTTAATATTTCTTGCCCTAAACATCAAATAAAACACAACGCAAAGAAGCAGTATGAGAATGAAAAGTCATTTTATTCACCCACTTAAGGGGCCCTCTCCATCTCATTCAACAACATTAAAGTTTCTAGAAAACTGTAGGGTAAAAACAATTGGAACACAATTATTCTTCAGTGTTACAAAAGCAGGGACAATGTTTTCCTGGTATTTACATTTTCACTGAATTTATCATTTAAGACAGTGAAATGACTGGAATGAAAACAGCCTGGCCTAGCCAGAGGAGCTACAGCTCCTATAATGAAGATAGATATTGACAGTAACTAAGTCAAAATACGTAGGTTTAGGACTCATCTGTCAGATTCAGGATACAATACAAGAGAGAATATACTTACTGAAACTTTCCACAAGGTCTAAGGCAGTCTTAGTAGCAATATCCATTCCAGAGTTGATGAAGGACTGGGAGCTCTTCAGTGAAGAAAGAGCAGTATCAATTATGTTGAACGGGATTTTTGCACCACCTGACATCTTGAAATTGTTACTCTAGAAATAACAGGGACAACATTTTAAACACAATTTAAAATGAAAAGAATTTGGGAGAAAAACATAAGTATAGCTAACCATAAAGCAGTGTCAACAGAAGCACTGAAACATCAGGGAGCAGGAATGAAAACTTAGCTTCCAAGATGTCAGTAATTTTAGTGAAACTGCAATTCACCACAGGTTTTCAATTCACCTCCTATTCAATATTAAGCAAAACTACACCACAAAGAGCAACTGGCAGTTTTCACCTGCTCATTCCTATTGCTAAACCACAATGAAGTTCAAACCAGTGATTATGTCTGCTTGAAAATTACTGTTCTATTTCAGGTCCAAAAGAAGATCCAAAGAAGCCAACTTGGCCAAAATGTGTCTGTGTTTTCTAGGCATATTATCAATTAGGCTAGAAAGAAATATGACTTCTTGTATTCAATTCAGCCTCACCAGCAGTTGGCCCTTGGAAAAAATAATCTGACAAAAGACCACTTTACTAAGAATGTATTTAACAGTAAAACATCTAGCAATATTTTTAAATAAAAGCCCATCTTACAAAGGCTGTCTACTTCCCCCAAGGATGCTACAAACTTTTAGTACTCATGTTCCATTAGCACAAAATAAATTCACACAGGTACCATGTTTATCTTCCTTACCACTCTGCTTTTCCAGTACACATCCACAACCTACAGCCTTGTGGGGATTAACTGCTCCTCCTCTGTCATTAATACAACCTTCAAGTGGTTTTGTTTATGCTGTGCCTATCCATACTGCTCACATCTGTTGGTTTCTTCTCAGAAATCCCAACTTCTGTTCTTCCTTCTTCTTGCTTTGCCATAACTCACTCAGACATGTAGCTACTGTGAGAAACATGAACCTGGTGTGCAGTATTTTATACTTCACATTGTAGATTAGAAAAATTCTGATTCAGCTTTAGATACACCAGAAAAAAAAAGAAAAACACAACAAACAAAAAGTCTTAGATAGACAGAAATAGTGCATTAGTCCATATAAAGAATAACTAATATGTTCAACAACTATATTGAGATGCTGTTGGGTGAAATAGAGAGCAGAATCCACAACTAAATTTGGGGTATACTAGAAGTTTTATCTGAACAGTACGCAAAGTAACAAAGGGACAAGTTGTTCCATCAACAGCAGCCTTTGACAGGCTATAATCCAACAGCAATCTGGAAAACATCTAAATAGAAAGTACAATGCTTTGCCCAAGATTTGCATACCTTAAGCTGTATCTCCCTCTACTGCTTTCCCTGAGACTCCAGAATTGCACGTTGTACTCACCCTAACCCAAACAGCATTGCCACATTCCTCACCAATACCATACAGACTATGAGACCTAAATACCTGCTGTCATGCTCTCTTCTCTCCTAATGTTTATTTCTTGTCCTTTTTTTCCATTTATAAAATGTGCTTGGCCAGTCAATACTATCTTTTAGTACACCATCTTTAGGTCATGTGCTTCTGGCAACATTTTAACAACAGTCCAACTTCACCACAACTTGAACTGTTCATTACATATAAATTACCTTCCTCTCTATTCCCTTCTAAAGATGCATCTTGCCACAGAGGAGGGAGCAGGCTTCAACAATAGCTCTAGTTATGTCAGCTCATGCTCTCCCTGCCAAAAGACAGTGATAGCTATCATTAGAGATCTTCATATGTGCCAAACTGACAACAGAAGACAAGGAAAATGTTCCTTATGGAACTCCTTGAAAGTACAGAAAAAGGATGCTCTTAAAGATTTAATAACCAATGCCTTCACCTGGTACTTTTTTTTTTTTTAAGTACCAGTTTGCCATCTTAGCAAGACTGTTTGTATAGAATCTCCGTGATCCAAACGTACACTATTAAATAGTCACATAAAATCATATGAGCAGCTTTATCTTACTAGGCCCAATTAGTGTATCAAAGTCAACAGTCAACAATTCCCTTCCTGAACTTGTTAAATCTCACTGAGAAAGCCTGTTGTTCTTTTGGATTTTTCACAGATACACACTGTGAAAGCAGGAATCTAAAAAAAAAAACCAACAGTGAAGTTAAAAAGGCTCCTTCGTTCTTTTAACATTTGTGGAAGCACTGAATAAACTACACAGGAGCAGAAGTTACTGGCCACAATATTAAATCATGCTAGTACATTGGTAGTTTCATCTCAATTTGTCTTTGGAAAGTAATCTCTTGGATGAATTTTCCTTTTTTTGCTTTTTTAATAAAAGATTATTTTTCTTAGAAACTGCTTAGGATCCTGTAATGCCCCTGCCCACTCAAAGAGTTTAGGAGAAGGTAGTTGGATTTGCCCTGGGTGGTGTGCGGGAGAAGCAATCAAATTCTCAGAGTTCAATAACAACTTTTACTTGTAAACTTTAGACCATTTGAGTAGAATAAGGTACTTGGCAACTTTGAAAACATCCAGACAAAGTAAGGCACTTTGCAAACTTTAAATCAGCGAATTTTAGCTTATCCAGACAAAACAAAGCACTTACTGGAATTCTGTGGTCTGGCTTACAATGCATTTTGAGAAGAAGGTAGGAGAAGAAAGTGAGAGAAAAAAAAGGGAGAGAGAAAGGTAGATAGTCACCACCCAAGGATCCAGCGTGGTCTCAGCAGCTTCTAAAGCCAGGGCAATGGACCACGTTTGGCACAGTGTCACCATCATTTTGCCTGCCCCAGTTTGCCATTTTGGAGCTTACAGCAGGCCAGCCCTGTCCCCCCACCACTTTCCAACTTGGTTGTTTTGAGCCAGTCAACTGTTCCTCCACTCTTCCTACATCAAAGATTTCACTCTTGGGTTTTTTAAGTGAACTCTTCAGCTTCAGCTTGCAGCTGTCCAATCTGCCTTCTGAGGAAAGGCCACGTTCCTCAGTTGGTTGCGTTCCACAGCAGTGTTTTTAAGGCACTCTTTTTTTGACATGAAGGTCTTCAATGGGTGCATCAATGAAGCACTCATAATTTGCAAGCCCCAGACCCCGCATTTCTGGAAAATACAATCAGCAAACTCAGTGCTGAAAAGGAGCCCAAGTGAGACTACCAAGGCCAATTTTTCTTCTTTCAACAAGTGATCAAATGGTCCAGACAAGACAAAGCAAAAAACTTACAGTGTCTATTTTGTCCCTTAAATATTTGAGCAAATGTCCTAAACTCTCTACGCTTCAACTCCCCAAGAGATCGGGAAAAAAAAAAAGAAGTTACTTCTGTAACACCAGCTCTACCGGTGACAAGTGTCCACCGAGCACCTGGGTCAGTGTCCACCCCCGGGCACACTCGGTGACCCGCTGCCACGGGGAGACAGACGATGCTTCCCTGCCACGAGGGTGGGAGCAGCGCCCGCCGGGCAGGAAGCTCCGCTGTCCCAGCCCTGTCCCTGCCCTATCCCGTCCATGGGCAGTCACGCACAGGGGGTGGGAAGGGGCCGGCGGGGGCAGCCGCCCTCGCCAGCGGCCGCTGCTCACCTGGTCCCAGCCGAGGCGGCCCGAAGGCGCTGCTGTCCCGGGCGGCCCCTGACGGCGGCAGCGGCGGCGGGACCGCCGGGCACCGGGGCGGGCGGAATCGCCTCATCAGCCGGCGCCGTCATGTGACGGGAGTGTTCGGCCGCGTCGCACGGAGCGCCGCCGCCTCCCTCCATCTCTCCTTCCCTGCCTGCCGCCTCCCTCCATCCCTCCTCCCCTCCCTCCCTGTCCGCTGCCGTCCCCCCGCGCTGCCGGGGCAGGGTGAGCGCGCCGAGCTGGGTCAGCGGGGGGCGGCTGTGGGCAAACTGTGAGTTCGGCGGCGCCGGCGCAGGATGGGATAGAATGGGATGGGATGGGGTGGGGTGGGTTCGGAGCCCGTCCGGGCGCTGCGGATCTGGGCCCCGCGGTGCGCCCTGCGGGGGCGGCACCGGGGACCGGGGAGAGCTCCAGGCGCCCGTTCTGGGCCAGAACATTTTTGGGACAGCTCGCTGTCATCTTGAATTTGTCGCAGTGGTTCGGAAGGTTTTTGGTGAAAAGTCAAGCCAGCTCAATAACTTCGCATAGATGTTCCTGAAATACAGGCGCTTATTTTTAGCAGTGGTGCGCGCCCCATCCCGCTGGAAACATGTCAAGGAATAAAACTGACCAGGAAATGCAACCACAGCGTGGAAGCGAGTCCTTCAGCAATAAGTAAAGGAACAGAGCTGTGTCATTTCTATTTGCTGTGAAAGTTTTCCTTGTTGCTGAAGCCCCTTGCAGTCACTTTGTTTGTATTTTTAAAGTGACTATTAAAAACACATGTTGTGAAGTGTTTTTGCTTTCCTTGCTCTCATCTCCCAGTCGTGGTCACGATTGCTTCGGGATTCGTGACCGTTCCATTCTTCAGTAGTGCTCTTCAACTTTCCTGGTACAAAAGGTCATGCTTCCCTTGCCTGGTCACACAGGTCACTGTGTCAAACACAGTGTACGTGCTGAAGATGAAGTCAATGCATTTTTTTTTTCATTTCACAAAGCTGTGATAATTTAGATTTCATGAATTGAAAGGTAGGAGAGTATTCTTAAAAATACACAAATTAAACTATCAAAAACACGAACACAAAGCACTCTGAATGTGTCTGGGTTTGTTTTTACAGGTTATTCATGGCGCAGCTAGTTTCCTCATCGGGCTTTTTGCTTAAAATAACCTAAAGACTAACGATTAGACTCGGACCTGCAGGACCTGCTGCCCTGTTGCATCCAGCTCCACAATGGTGGATTTTCTGGCTGAAAACAATCTGTGTGGTCAGGCAATTCTTCGGATTGTCTCCTGTGGAAATGCCATCATTGCAGAACTTCTGAGACTTTCCGAATTTATTCCTGGTGTTTTCAGGCTAAAGGACAAAGCTGATCAACAGAAGTATGGGGATATCATATTTGATTTCAGTTATTTTAAGGTAAGCCCTTTTATTGTTAAACTTCTTAAAGAATTGCTGTCCCGCATGAGGATGCTTCAGGTTATGAAACAGCCATTCCTGACTATTGTGTTTACTAGCATTCTTCAGAATTGACTATGATTATTTGATTAGTTTTTACTAAAAATTAACCAAATTGAGGTAGGAAGATATTTGCATGCTGATGTTCTGCTTCTGGGATGACTAGGGTTTTATATACATTTGATCATACTCAGCCTCATCCATTTCAACATGTGGAAACAGTCTAGGAAAGGGTCTGTACTTAGAGCCCTTGGCAGGATAGAAGTGTAACCAGTACCTGCACTGAGAGTATCAGGGCAGGAAGGGGGTGGCAGTTCTAAGTGCATCTAAGAGCAATCCCAAAATGTTTGATGAGTCATCTACCCTGTGACCTTTGATAGATACCAATTATACAAAATGTGAGTATTGGATTCTGGGGAGGTGGTGGTGGTGGTGGTTGTTGTTGTTATTTCTTCCTGCAGAACTATTGCATTATACTTTCACCAGCAGGTTTTGAGCCTGTGCAGTTGGTTGTTTTCCTTCAGAGCAGTACTGTGGGCAGTATGCCCATCTTTCTTGGGTTATCTGTAGCTTATTCTTTGCAGCCATGAAAACTGAGTTCTGCTTTCCTGTCTGACAGTGCTGTGATTGTTCATTTGCTGGACTTGTCACGTGTGCTGAATAAATAAATCAAGGAGTAGTATCCATGGAAAGCCCGTATTTCCTTTCCAAAATTAAGCTTCTTGCAGTACCAAGTTCTCTCTGTTGTTTTCCAGCATGCTTAAGAGGGAACTACAAGACTATCTAATCTGACTTTATTTTCATTGTAGAGTACAAGAAATGTCAATAGTAAAGCAAGGGGAGGGACTTGCAAAGTTTTATTCTGTTTTATTTTAGTAAGAGTTGTAAATTTCAAGCACTAACTGTAAGCCTTGAATACTGAAAATCCTGAGCACAAATGATTTCACAATTACCTTTAGATCAAAGTGCTTGTTAGAAGTCTTTTTTTTTCAGAAATTATTTGAAAACTTCAAAGCAGATAGCTATAATTGGTAAGAAATATAATAATCCTTAAAACTGTAGTATTTTTGAATGTTAAAGAAGCATAAAGTTTTTCAGTTATAATCCCAAAAATCCAGAGAAGTCTTATTTATAAAGCTGAGATTAGTGAATTTACAGATATTTTTACTGCGAACGCACCACTTCTGCATTAATGATTCTCAGAATTACCTAATGAGTAGAGAGATTTGAGATTTTGAAAGTTGAGACTGTTTACTTTGTACATTTGAACTTCACAGACAGTTTGGGATCTGCTTTTGTCCTTTGTTTTTTATAGGTGTTTTGCACAAAGAGAAGCAGAAAAGCATTCTTAAAAACTCAAGAAATTGTAGGCTGGGTATTTTCAATTAAATGTTAATAATATTTTCAATTAAACATTAACAGTATTTTCATTTAGATGGTGATGGCAAGACCAAATAGTGGTTATGAGAAATGTAACAGTGGTAAAGAGTTAGAAAAGTTGTATTATTGCTTTAAGGAAGTCAGGCTGTTTATCCTAACCCTTTTTCCCCCATAATTGTTAATGACA